GACGAAGTTGACGTGTCCCGGGGTATCTATTATGTTGAATAAGTGGGACTTTCCCTTGGTGCTCTGAAGGACCAGGCTCATCGGCGCTGCTTTCACGGAAACGCCTCTTTCTCTCTCGACGACATGTGTGTCGGTGTATCGTAGCTGCTCATCTCTTTTCCTTCCTTGGCGCTTCTCTAATCGGTCGGTGATATCGTGTGTCTCGAGGACAAGCATATCCATAAACGCAGTCTTGCCATGATGAAGGTCTCCAGCTAGGGCTATGTTTCGTATTTGGTCGGGGAAGTTCATGAGATCGGTCATGAAATTGCGATCGAAGTGGACGGGGGGAAGGTCGGCTTCTTCTATGGAGAACTTCTTCACCTCGACGGGCGCGACGATAGGTTGGGAAAGCGGCTGCGCGTCCTCTTCTTGCACTAATGTCTCGACGTCTTCTCCGTACACCTGTTGCGCCGTCGGGTAATATTGCTTGTCCTCGTGTAATATCACCGCATTGGATGGGCCGTCCTCGTCAATCTCCATCAACTCCTGCCCTGTGGCTTCGGGCGCCTCCTCGGGGTAGTCATCGTCGAGATACGCGCCGGCGTCAACGCCATGCTGGGATTCTTCCTCTGATGCTTCGGCATCTTCACCGATGAAGTTTCCGAACCTGGTCGGGAGAATTAGTTCTTGTGAATTGACATAGTAAACAGGTATACATACTCGTCGTAGAGGTCATCCATGGCGTAAATTAGACGTGAGAAAAGATTAACGGGTGATTTATAAGAAAGATTGATGTCACGTTCAAAAAAGTTACAGAATGAAGATGCAAGGCTGAGAAGAGCGCGTTCTTTCGTTGTGGCTAGTGACAAAATTCACCGTGGCTCATGCTTTCCTAGATGCAAGGCTGAAGCTCGCTAAAGCGATAGGAGGCAAGGTCCGATAAGCGGCCAGATAGCGGGTGATGGCCCCATCAGTGGGTCCTAGTTAAGCTCACTGGCCCACCAATCTCAGGAACGGGACTAGCTGCCCCACTACCCAATCCAGTAAGACCCTTAGAATCGGCATATTCCTAGTCAAGTAAATCCCAGAATGGTATAGATTATCGGAGGGGCGGTGTATTATGATTTTTAACTTGCCTTTGTTTTCACATGATGGGATGGTGGCTTCCTAAGTTGCTTGGGTCCGGGCCCAACACTTTCTTTAAGAGAAGATTGAAATATAAATTTTGCTTTTCTACTTCCTCTGATTTTAATTTCTGAGCCCCTCTTCGTTGCTACTAACCAACTCGATCCTCCTTGCCCATCATGTCTGGTCTTCCTCCCGTCTACATCGTCTCAGCTGCCCGAACGCCCGTGGGGTCATTTCTGGGGTAAGTTTTGCTTCTTATGGAGACTTCTCCCCCCTCCTTTTCCTTGCGACAAGTATAAGACGGGAAACTTACTTATGTGCATCCAGAACACTGTCAAGCCTCACGGCGACCCAATTGGGATCTCTTGCTATTAAGGGTATGTTCAACTGAAGTTTTGCTATACAATCTCAACATTTTGCTGACGTGAGTTTGGTACAGCTGCCATCGAACGAGTTCCTCAAATCAAGCCCGAAGATGTCGAGGAAGTCTTCTTCGGAAATGTGCTGTCCGCCAAGTATGTCCCCGCTTCCATTGGGTCTCAATGAATAGAAAGAGAGTGGATAAACAATAAAATTAAAATAATTGGACTCTGGGTGATCGATCGAGAGGGGTGCTAATACATTGCATAGTCTCGGACAAGCACCCGCTAGACAGTGCGCGCTAGGCGCCGGAATACCAGACTCGGTTGTCTGCACGGGCGTCAACAAGGTTTGTGCTTCGGGTCTCAAGGCCATTATCCTTGGTGCTCAGACCATTATCACGGGCAATGCCTCCATCGTCGTAGCAGGCGGTACTGAGTCCATGTCCAATGCCCCGCATTATCTCCCCACCCTCCGAAACGGTGCGAAGTTCGGCGATCAGACCCTCGTCGATGGTATGCTGAAGGATGGTCTGACGGATGCCTACGGCAAGAAGGAGCACATGGGTATCTCCGGTGAGCTTTGTGCTGAGGAGCACTCCATCACCCGTGAGCAGCAAGACGAGTACGCCATCGAGACCTACACCCGCGCTCAGAAGGCTACTGCCGATGGCATCTTCGCCGCCGAGATCGTCCCTGTCGAGGTTAGCGGCGGCCGTGGCAAGCCTGCCATCAAGATCACCACTGATGAGGAGGTCAAGAACTTGAACCCTGAGAAGCTGAAGAGTGTTCGTCCCGTCTTCAAGCCCCAAGGCGGCACCGTCACTGCTGCCAACGCTGCTCCTCTCAACGATGGTTCTTCTGCTGTTGTGCTTATGTCCGAGGCCAAGGTCAAGGAGCTGGGTGTCAAGCCCATTGCCAAGATCCTGGGTTGGGGTGATGCCGCCCGTGAGCCCGTACGCTTCACCACGGCGCCAGCCCTTGCCATCCCCAAGGCTATCAAGCACGCCGGCTTGACCGACAAGGATGTAGACTACTACGAGATCAACGAGGCCTTCTCTGTGGTTGCCCTTGCCAACATGAAGTTGTTGGGTCTCAACTCCGAGCAGGTCAACGTCTTCGGTGGTTCAGTTGCCATTGGCCACCCTCTTGGCGGTTCTGGCGCCCGTATCGTCACTACTTTGACCACGGTGTTGCGTGAGAAGAAGGCCAAGGTTGGTGTCGCCGGTATCTGCAACGGTGGTGGTGGTGCCAGTGCTATCGTCATCGAGAACCTGCAATGACTGCACGACAATGGTGACGAGGAGGAAACAAAAGCCTCTGCTGCTAGCAGAAAGAGGAGAGATTCTCGAATATAACTGGCCAGGCGCGACGTATTAATGCGATGATGAGCAAAGCGAAGCGATTAGACCAGCGGCTAAATACGGACAAGAGGGGAAAGATATGAAATGAATAATGCGAGGATGACCTAAGATAAATAATCTAATGCATACCACCTTGGCGCTTACTTAGCCCCTTAGCTTAAATATATCAGGTAGAAACAAATACCAGAGTTGTTGGATTGCTTAACATAAAGTATCATTCCAAGATCCATCTACTATAGGTATCTATATTCCTTGATGATAAGGTGCTACCAGAAAACCAGTAGCATTCGCATCAGTATCCTTACTACGTCAATTCAAAACAGGCCGCCAACCCTTCCGCCTCACATACCCTTCAACGCCTTCATCCTTTAAAACATCAGCACCCATCCGTCCCGTCACAACGCTCCTCTCCACCTCAGCTCCGTGGACGTAGAACGGGAACGCAAGTCTCCCTGTATCCTTGCCCCCCTCTCTGGTCTCAGCATCTACCGCCGGCTCCCAGACCACACGTCCAGCTTTCGGTCTCTTCACAAACCCACACGCCTCCCTATCAAGCGAGAGGTACCACCGTCGCTGATGCACGCTGCCGATAGAATTCGTCGCGCCCGCGTACGCGTTCCTCCGGCAGACCTGCTCGTCCTCCAGCTCGCGGATCTCCCGCTCCATCGCCGAGACGGCGTCCGGGTCTGCCTGCTCGACGGGCGCCTTGACGATTTCCGACAATTCTAATTCTTCCTCATCTCCGTTTCCATTTTCCGAATCGGAGCTTGTTTCCAGCTCCGCGGCTTTCCTTTTCCCCGCCCCGCCTCTGGCGGAACCAGGACCACCTCTTCGTCGTCTTCGCGTAGGTGTGCGACTGCTCTTGGCGCGACCTGCGACGTCTTCTTCCTTGGTGAGACGTAGGTTTAGCACGTAGTTGCGCGGTAGGCGCGTGCCGTGGAGACGGATTCGTATTTTGCGAGATTGGAAGGCTTGGTGAAGCTTCTCTTGCTCGGTGAGCTGGGGTGATGATGCGTCTTCGTCCTCTGATTGAGAGTTTGATCCAATCCGCTTATGCAAATCCCGTGACGGGAGGATTGTGTACGTCCCCGTGTCCCATATTAGTAAGGAGCCGGTTGAATGTGAGGCTGTCTCTATGAGATGGTTCTAGGCATTGTTAGTGACAAGGTCCGGTTTGTAATATATGACGGTTGGTAAATATACCCATAGACAATGGATTCTTGTCTCCGTGGCGTTTCTATTTAGTCGCTGGCTGTTGGGATCGCCCGGGAGCCCATACATGATAGCCCATGACACGCTGCTGGTTTCATTGATCTGCAATCGGAGATCATAATGCGTGCCCGCGATAGGGTGATCATGTTGATGAACGATGAAGTGCGCGCCCTTTGGATTACCCCAGTTCGTCTCGTACAGTTTACGATAACTCTCAATTGAGAGCCTTGGTATACCTGGTGGATATGGGAAGAGCATCGCCTTTACAAGACGACTGCTGAAGTAGCCTAAGTGATCTTCGATTTTGGCCTCTCCCGCTTCGACAGCTGGTGCTTCTGGCTCCTCCTCTTCACTACTAGTTTCTTCATATTGACTGATAATGCCATAATTCTTATGCGACAAACCAGAAGGGTCCAGAGTCCATTCTAGGTTTTGTTTCTTGATGAATGGATTGCCAACTAATTGCGGACTAGGCCCCCGCTTTGTTGCCATGTTCTTTGACTCTCTCACTCACTTACAATAGACGGCTGTCACTGGAAAGTCTAGGCTGTTTTGGATAGCTGGGCTTCTTTTTGTATTTCTATAACGTGGGATACACACGCTTCGACGCATTTTAGAAACCATTGGCAAAATAGTAGGGTTAACCGTTAATCCTGATTGAATTAACTATTAGGCTACCCCTGATCTAAAGCCGGCGTATTGGATTGTTTTCAAGGGAGACTTTAATTCATGGTGGTTAGTCGCAGTGAGAACTGGAAATAGGGAAGGAGGGCGGATCAGTGACTTCCCTCATTAGATACAATATTACTAGTCATTCTTTGAATTATGTAATACAACCTTGGAACTTTGTACAGCACTAGGGGCAGAACATTTGTTCTCAAAATTCCGACTAAAAAATACCTATCAAGCAAAAAAGTAATCATCATGTACGTCGGATGACGAAAATGCAAAAGAATGATGAGAGTGGGACTCGAACCCACGCGGATTGCTCCACTGCGAATATTCTACACAAGATAGAAGATCCAGGTTCACCTGAACGCAGCGCCATAACCACTCGGCCATCTCACCTTGGAGTCTTGAGCTGTTTTAGTATACTATAAAGCCTGCTGCCTGTGCGGGGCAGCATAGGCGTAGCCCTAGACCGGATCTCAGAGTGGGGTAATAATTTGGTCCCGGGACAAAGTTCAACTCCGTTAACCTCGACACCATTTCATCCGGGCTTTTAGCTCCTACGTTCCATCTACTTGTACGGATAGTTGCAGGAAAGAAGCCTACTCTGCTGAACAATATCGCGATATTCCTTGAACGGCACTTTATTGGCCCATCGACGGATTTTAAACTACATTAATTCTTTTCTGCATTCTTGGGTTGGTTACACCTAGATGCTGTATCTGAGTTCCGCGAGGGTTCACCGAACGAATATTAGGTACCTGGTAGGTATTAATATTCATTACCTGCCTAGAATAGGTAGGTTACTCATAAACTATCTCCTCAACGCAATTAATTGGTTATAGATACGATCTACTGAATTACACGATTAATAAGCCTCTATTATCCTTCACAGTTATTCTATGGGAAACCCGTCTCGATAGTCAAGAGCTTAATGCTGTGCGAGCCACCTGGAAAGGATTAGATGCTATCCTGAACCGAACTGCAAGGGAATAGGGGTTGTCTTACGGGATTCTGGGAGCCAGTGTGACCTGAGCTTCCTCGACCTCGGTCAAGGTAACATCGTCATAGTATAACTTATGTGTGGCACCACCCGAGGAACACTGGGAGCTGAACGAAATCGCTGCCGTGTCGCTGGTAGCTGTCCAGGAATCCGTGTAATAGACGTACACACCACTGTAGGAACTAAGATCCGGGCGTCGCGTGCGAACGCCGTTGATGAGAATATCCATGATGCAACCCGATGCCACGTCTTGCTTCACCGCGTCTATTGACGTGTTAGCCGTCGCTTGTCACTGCATTAACGATTTAACGTACATTGGAACGAATACGTCTTGCCCGAGACGACAGAGGCAGTCTGCTTCAGCTGAATCTGCCAGAGCCCAAGTTTTCCCTGCGCAACAAAAGATCGCAGGCCGGAGTACGGGTCTGTGTCTAGGGAGCCGGATGTGGTGAGGTCCAGGTTGTATCCTGAGTACGTCCAGCTGATGGGGTCAACGGTCTCGAAGCCAGAGTTTACAACGGCCTAAAATTGATGTTAGCGGTTAGTTCTCGTAATCAATCGTCATCGTGTGACTTACCTGAGTGGCTGTGGGCTCTGCAGACACCGACGATACAGTCTCAGAGGAAACCGTGCTCAGAGTAGCGATGCTCGAGGAGTCAATGCTTGAAGAGGTGCTCGAGAAATCAACAATTGACGAGGTGGTCGGGACAATGACACTCGACGAAGTAGTTGGCACGAAAACGCTCGACGATGTGCTGCTTGAGGGATCGAAACTTGGAGAGGGAGTCGGGATAATAATACCCGACCAAGTACTTGGAACAATGGGGCTTGATGACGTTGTGCTCGAAGGAGCGAAACTTGAAGTGCTCACTGCGAAACTAACAGTAAGAGGGACTTCGGAAGAGCTCGTCTCGACGACGCTGAACGACGAGGATGTACTCGAAGCCGACGAGCTATTGCTGACCGCCGAGGATAGAGTTGGATAGCTCGTAGGGAACGCGAGGGAAGACGTGGTATTAACGGAGAAGCTGAATGAGTACGTCGTCGCATTGGCGGGATAGGCATATGAGCCCGTAGGCACCAAGTTATACGAAGAGGTTGTCTCATTGCTGGCTAGCCTAGGCTTACACCTACTCGCATCCGCCACCTCATAAGTCGCCGCAAAAGCAGCAGCAGAAACGAAACGTTTAAACGACATGATTAAAGAGCGACTATGACACGGTTTGGTCAATACAACTTGAACGAACGACGAGTGTCAAAAAACGAGTGACAGACACTTAGCAACCAAGTGAGAACTACACTCCAAAGCATGAAGGCTGTATGCGAAAGATATATGCATACTCTAGACGACATACTAGCTACCTTTAGACTTTGCTACCGAAATTAGATGGCGTAATTGGTGGTTTTTTGGCGCATCGTCGTTGTCGATCGAAGCTCAGCTGAAGACTATCACCAGACTAACCTACTCTGCTAGTGGCTGGAGCTAAGCTTTTCTCTCCTTATCTGACTATTTGACTAACAACAGACGGAAGCAAATGATCAAGCATGCTAGGAGTATTTAAAAATGCTAACATAGGTATCTATGTAAGTACAAGACCTCAAGGATTCTAGAAATGTACTAGAGCTATGAAGTCGAGAAGTACTGTGGCATTTTATACGAAGGACTGTTATATAAAGATTCAAGCGGTGGTATCGAAAAGGGGTAAAGTTGGAAGTTGGACAACGATTTAGGGAATGCATCGTCTTAAGTCCAAGTCTTTCTGCATCTATTTAGTTCGAACGAAGCTAATAGATCTCGTAGACTTCTAACCAATAGTATGATCTAAGTTCCTGACGCTTGCTATTGGCGTCAGATGGGCGCCTCTCCGCATAGATCTAGATTGCGAGCCAATTCAGGGCCTAGACCATGACCATCACCGCCGCCGCGGCGGTAGAGGCTACATCACAATTTTTTATTCGCAAAATTGAGCTAATAATGTGAGAGGCCTGCATATTTTTCACCGAGTATAAACTAGGGCGGGGAATCATCCAGACGCCGTTCTGGTAGTGATCTAACTTGATGATCATGCATATTGCGATAGACACTAGTGATTTCAGAAGTTTTCGTCAAAAGAGGCTGATATAATAGACGTCATTCTGTCATCAAAAGCCCTAAATTGACATCGCCCGTACTAATATCTGCTGAATCCCGAATCGACACTCACGACTTCCAGCATGACATCCTCAATCCTTCCTACGTTCGACCCAACAACTCAATTTCCAATCCTCGCAACAGCGGCCATAACATCCGTGCTACCATCCTCCCATACCAGGTGAGTGCCGTGTCTAGTGATCCTCCAAGGATTCTCCCCCTTCGCCTCCAGCTCAGGTAGCCGCACGAGATCGAGATGATAACGGCCCTGTTCGAATAACTGGTTAGCCGAGCACCTCTAACAGACCTGACAACTACATCGCATGGGATGCATATCAGAGTAGAGAAGTACTTACCCCGTTATGCATCATGGGACCGCCTCGGGCCGCTCGACGGAACATATGGCCCTCCACGTTGGCGATGACCTTGCACTTGTCCGGCCTGGTGACACCCTTCCCCGGCTGCGGTAGCTCTATCAATACGGCCCTGATGTTTATTATAAGCATACAAAGCTTGGAAACTGTTATATTCACAAGAAGAAACTTACGACACTATGTGCTGGTGTCCGTCATACGCCTCCATCAGCGGCCGGAGGCTGTCGGACCACTCCTTGGCCGTCGTCTCCATCGGCTTCCCGCCAAACATGGACGTGTAGTCGATAACTACCTCTGGCGCATAGACGTCTTTGACTAGGCCTTCGAAGGATTCAAGGTCGATGTTAATGGTCTCGTAGGAGAGGCCGAATGTTAGTCCCTTGCGTTACTAAACATTTGACTATGTCCACTTACAAGACGGATCACCGTATCATAGATGTTTGCCCTGTCTAAGAGGTATGTCTGGGTGTCGTAAGGAGAAGCCATTGTCGCACGAGTTAGGTACTTTTCTTTTCAGAATATCGCGAATCGCTGTTTTGCTTTGCATCGAACACTCTCGAGGAAGGTTGCGCTTATTCTGAGCACTTTATCCTTATATTCGTCTATTCATCATCTACGTAATTACGACAGACTTCATTTATCTCCTATTTCCTTCTCAATATTCATCGCTGGCGTGAGGCCCCTCCTCCTTGGCATTGGTAAGTCTAAATGCGCAACTCCAATACTTGAAGACTAAATTGGCAAGGGGATGATCCGACTTGATATAGTGACCGGTATAATAATTCGACCGTATATTCGCATATTAGCATACCTCCGCTTAATCCCGGGCCCCCCATGGCCTAGTTCCGGGGCGGAGACGGTACAATTTGGTTACTAGAAAAGCAATACTAAGCTCGATCGGTTCATCTGATTGGCCAATTCAATAGCTTCGTTATGGACCAATTACTAATTCGTTTATATTTGGTATTCTTTCTATGACTTCAAGCAAACATACAAGGGGGAGTTCAGCAAACCGAAAATACCAATTTCTGGTCCTGTGATAATGGATATAATGAAGAGTTACATCGTAAAAAAATCGATGTTGAAATTATCCTGTACATTAGGTATTCAGTTTAAGTTTCTAAGTCTTCAATCATCGTTACTTGTATCCTATAAACCATGCCTTCCGGTACAATCCTCGTCCTAGGCGGCACAGGCAAAGTAGGCCGCCAGCTCGCGCCGTTGCTGAAGGCCGCCGATGTCCCCGCCCTCATTGCGTCGCGATCCGCTAAGTCGGTCGCTGGTGTGCCGGGCGTCAAGTTCGACTGGGACGACAAGTCAACGTGGGAACAGCTCTTCGCACAATACCCCATCGACACCGTCCACATCGTAGTGAAGTCCACCGCCGACCAGGCCGTGCTTAACAAGGTATTCGTCGACTTCGCGTTGGACAAGGGCGTTAGGCGTATCGTGCTTCTGAGCGGCAGTCCGGTGGAAGAGGGTGGTCCGACGATGGGCAAGACACACCAGTACTTGCACGAGCTTGGTGATCAGGGAAAGGTGGAGTGGGCTGTGTTGAGGCCGTCTTGGTTTTTCGGTACGAGAATAAGTGTCTTTTATTTTCTGAGTACCTATGATTGCAGCAAGGTAGCTAACGGGTATCTGATGCTATAGAAAGTTTCACCGAGCACCGCGGCCTGTCCGTCAAGGAGCAAGGCAAGTTATACTCCGCTACGGGTTCAGGCAGAATCCCCTTCGTATCAACCGAAAACATCGCCGCGGTCGCCCTCCACGCCTTAACTTCACCTGAGCCCCCCAACAAGGAGTTCCTGATCCTGGGGCCCGAACTCCTTACGTACAGTGATGTAGGTTGTATCGCCATTCAGTTTTCCCGTCAACTTGCCATGTGTTC